AAACCCCCCTAAACACGCTGCCACTCACAAGGACAACCGGGAGTTATCCCTCCCCCCACCTCAATTACCCCATATACCCCCCCAAACATGTTTACAGCTCCAGATTACCCACAAAGTGATGTGAGGAGCCTCCTGAACCCAGCGATGGGGAAAACACCCAACAACAATGCCCCGAACCCCCGGATGACACCCGATCTCCTCACCTCCTCGTTACCGTCCACACAGCCTCACTCTCACTCACAGAGAATTTCCGGTATTCATAAGATCACTTCCGGCCCAGGCACCCAATACACAGCCAGGATCGGGAAACATAACCGACGCTAAAAAGGGAACGTCTCGCTGGATATTATTGGCTGCTGGTCATGTGACTAATTTAGTGGCTCGCTGACTGGGCGCAATGTATTCTTCCCGGCTTGGCCCTCCTCCTACCCAACAATCGCAGAGTACCCTTGTCTCCCACGATGCTTCACGGGAAAAGACAATGAGGCATGCCGGGAGTTGTAGTTTGTTTACTATCCCCTGTGAGCAGCCAATCATAGAGGGCCATGTAGTGGAAGGTGGCTGACAAACCCTCTCATCCGGAATCCCTTCCCCTAGCGGTTGATTGGCTGGTAGGCGGAGGCCGCGCGGTGATTGGTCCAGGTAGAAGAGCGGAGGCCTGCCATTGGCTGGGTGGGTGGTGCGGCTGGCTGGTTTAGGCCGCTGCCGGAGCCCGGTACTGTGAGACGGGAGGATGGGGAAGAGGAGAGCGCGGTGTGCGCTGCTGGTGCTCGTACTGCTGAGCGTTCTCTGCTGCCGGGCCACCACCGAGCTGCTGGACCACCAGGGTGAGACACAGATCTGGCACCCTGACTGGACCTGGCTCCAGAACTGGCACCCTGACTGGACCTGGCTCCAGAACTGGCACCCTGACTGGACCTGGTTCCAGAACTGGCACACTGACTGGACCAGGCTCCAGAACTGACATCCTGACTGAAGCTGGTTCCAGGACTGGCACCCTGACTGGACCTGGGTGACAGCCCTGCAATGACTGAGCCCAGAACGGGCATCGCTGAGCCAGGACCAAACCCAGCTGACAGTGCTGTGCAACTGATGGGAGCCTTCAATGGCACCCGGCATTCTCTGGGGCTGTCAGTGGGACCCGGCACTGCCTGGGGCCCCCAATGGTATCTGGCACTGACAGACTCTCTTCCTGACTTCCCATCAGACACTGAGGAAATCCCAGAACAGGAGCCCGGCAGTGTCAGAGCCGCCAGTGCCGTGTCTTGCCAGCTGTGCCAGGTCTGGGGATGTACATACATGGTGCTGAGTGTCATGTGTTCTTCTCTTCCAGATATTCAGAACGAAGGAGACACAGAGGAAATCTCGGTAAGAACGTGTGTGTGTGTGTGTGTGTGTGTGTGTGTGTGTGTGTGTATATATGCACAACAGTGACGGCTGCTCCCAACAGTTCCCTCTAGAGTTCAGGCACCAGTCAGTCATGGCATGAAGACAGTCAGCTTAAAGGACAACCCTGCTAAATTATTATTAACCCTTCAAGTGGGCCCCCACCCCCGCAAGAGGTAGGTGCTCCCTGTGCTGGGTTCCCAGGTCTGTACACCCGCTGTGCCCATTATGAGGAGCTCCCCCCATCCCTGTGCTGAGTTCCCGGGTCTGTACCCCCGCTGTGCCCATTATGAGGGGCTCCCCCCATCCCTGTGCTGAGTTCCCGGGTCTGTACCCCCGCTGTGCCCATTATGAGGGGCTCCCCCCATCCCTGTGCTGAGTTCCCGGGTCTGTACCCCCGCTGTGCCCATTATGAGGGGCTCCCCCCATCCCTGTGCTGAGTTCCCGGGTCTGTACCCCCGCTGTGCCCATTATGAGGGGCTCCCCCCATCCCTGTGCTGAGTTCCCGGGTCTGTACCCCCGCTGTGCCCATTATGAGGGGCTCCCCCCATCCCTGTGCTGAGTTCCCGGGTCTGTACCCCCGCTGTGCCCATTATGAGGGGCTCCCCCCATCCCTGTGCTGAGTTCCCGGGTCTGTACCCCCGCTGTGCCCATTATGAGGGGCTCCCCCCATCCCTGTGCTGAGTTCCCGGGTCTGTACCCCCGCTGTGCCCATTATGAGGGGCTCCCCCCATCCCTGTGCTGAGTTCCCGGGTCTGTACCCCCGCTGTGCCCATTATGAGGGGCTCCCCCCATCCCTGTGCTGAGTTCCCGGGTCTGTACCCCCGCTGTGCCCATTATGAGGGGCTCCCCCCATCCCTGTGCTGAGTTCCCGGGTCTGTACCCCCGCTGTGCCCATTATGAGGGGCTCCCCCCATCCCTGTGCTGAGTTCCCGGGTCTGTACCCCCGCTGTGCCCATTATGAGGGGCTCCCCCCATCCCTGTGCTGAGTTCCCGGGTCTGTACCCCCGCTGTGCCCATTATGAGGGGCTCCCCCCATCCCTGTGCTGAGTTCCCGGGTCTGTACCCCCGCTGTGCCCATTATGAGGGGCTCCCCCCATCCCTGTGCTGAGTTCCCGGGTCTGTACCCCCGCTGTGCCCATTATGAGGGGCTCCCCCCATCCCTGTGCTGAGTTCCCGGGTCTGTACACCCGCTGTGCCCATTATGAGGGGCTCCTGTCATCTCTTGATGATTGTGGACACTGAGGGTGTCTCCTCTTCTCCCCTCCAGCAGGTTTCGGAGTCCAGAGAAGAGGTGGATTCGGAGTTCCCCACCGGAGATGAGCCAAAGACGGAATCCGAGGAGCGGCATGACGAGCGAGCGGAATGGTGGGCGGAGAACGTGGTCACACTGGACAGCACAGAGAGCGATCCAGAGATGGCGGATAGTTCCCTGTCCTCTGATCCGGAACCCCAACACGAGCCACTTGTGTTCACGGAGGTCTCGCAGACCGTCACCTTTCTGGAAGACACGGACAGCCAGGAGGGCGACCCCGGGGCCCCGGATCAGGAGTCATTAACGGAGGAAGACAGCGGGAACGCCGAGCCCCAGAGACAAGGTAATGTCATGTTTGTGGGAGTGGCTTATGTGTTCCGGCCCTCTGCCCAACTTAAAGGGCCGACCGACCAGAACTATTGGGAGCCTTTGCTGCTCCGCCTGGGGCCCCAGCTGCTTGGTGCGGGGCCACAGCTTTAGGAATCCACAAAACATGTTTCAGACGTATTTACTGGGGAAGTGTCATGGTGACGTGCACTGTGCCGTAACCCGTAGCAACCGTTAAGATTTCACATTATTGGATGCGATCGCTGGGGATCTTCTCTGAGGTTTGGGCCACTTTATGGTTTTATGGGCTGAACTTTGCAGAACCGTTCCGTGCAGTGAGATCTCTGAGTGGCGGCGAGTCGGGAGATTTGTGTCTCGGCCGCTGTCGTGTTTGTCATGGAAATCCTCCTGGCGGCTGGTTCCCGGGATCGGACTTCTTGGCTCGGCTTGTCACATGTGACAATGACTCTTTTGTTCTGTCTCCAGTCTGCTCTATACACTGTGACGTGAACCTGACCCTGTGTGGACGGGACCCCGACCTGTCCTGGTCCACTAGAGAGACCTTCCAGCTCCCAATAATTAGGAACCGCGCTCATCCTGTCATGTCGCAGAATCCAGGGTCAGCCAATCGGGGAGCTCTCCTTCTTCTTTTCCAGGCTGTAGAAGGAATACAGCGCTGTCCCCTCTCCACCCCCAGCGTGCTGATTTTGGATAGTGAAAGAAGTGGTCTGATGAGGTCATCTCTCTGCTCTGCTGGGACTCTAACTGGTGACTTGTCCATTATGAGGCCGCTTTTCCTGATACCTGTACTGCATCCTGCCTCGTATTGGGGTGTCATTGTATGTAATGTTATGGGGGGCTCTCTGTTATCGGGGGGTCTCTGCGCTGGTCTTGTCATCTGCAGTCGCCGTGTTGTCATTGCGGTCGTACCGGGAAGAGTTTGCAGAGCCGTCACCGTAGTCACCTCAGGAGTTTCATCAGCCAGGTGTCTTCATGTGAAAGCGCCATCTGCCGCGCCTGGCTGTGC